AAAACTTAAATAAATAACTGCTTGTCACAAAAATTAAGAAGTTGATCTTATAAACGAAATTACAAAAACATTATTAACTCTGCATCAAATTAACTTTATCATCGAAAATTTAATTACAAATACAGGGTGATTCAGTCATAATGTCACTAAATTTAAGAGCAGATAGAGAAAAATGAGGATAATACGACGGCGTGATTAAAAAAAATTAAATGCATATTTAAGCTGAAAAAAATATTTTCAAATCATTACTTAACCCCCTTTTCAGGCTGTTACTAGCCGACTGACCTCAGCCGGCTACGATATGAACAAGGCGCCCTAGATGGAATGTTGCCATATTGATATATTTTCGTTCATATAAAGACATGAAGTAAACGGTTTGCTCTTCTTCTTCTTCTTCTTCATCTAGTGGTTGGTCCTTTAAAAGTCCCATAGCACTGCGGCCTAATTAGGCCTATTGTGCGTCCCACTACTAGTCCTATTCAGCAAGTAGATTTGTCCTTTTTACAAAGTCCAAAAGCTTCCTTGCTGACACTTCTCTCAGCTCCTTGGGTTCCAAATAGGGTCTCCCAAGGAGCGCCATTCTGCTACGTGCAAATCCCGGGCACTCGCCCAGGATATGCAGAGAAGTTTCATCCGCCGATTCACATCCTCGGCAGACCGGACTGTCTACAAGCTTTAGTCTATGTAGATGTTTCTTAAAGTGACAGTGTCCCGTTATGAGTCCTGTCACTCTCCTGAGCCGGATTCTATTCAAGCTCAGTAACTCAATCGCTCTTCCATTCGAAGGATACTCCATAAGCTCCTTGGAATGGCTATGTCCTGGCCTTGAAGTCCAGTATTTCCTATGTTCTGTCTCTGTCCATTTGCCCATAGCCCGCCTGACCACACTGGGAGATGTGCCACAGAAGGGCTCCGGGCCAATGAACACTGTTTCGGATCCCTTCCTCGCAAGTTCATCCGCTTTCTCATTTCCACAAATGCCTTTGTGCCCTGGCACCCAACACAGTCTGACTGTATTGTTGGTGGCCAGTTCAGTTAGCATTTGTAAACAGTCCCACACCAGTTTTGAACTTACCTTGTGTGCGGCTAAAGCTTTAATTGCAGCTTGACTATCAGAGAATATATATATGAGTTTACGTCTATAACCTCTACGTACATTCTCTGCCAGACACGCCATTATTGCGAAGATTTCTGCTTGGAATACAGTAGGGAACTCCCCCAGACTGTAGCTTGCACTCCATCTGGGTCTGAGTCCATATATTCCTGCACCCGTCCCTCTGGTCATTTTGGAGCCATCTGTAAACCATACTAGGCTCCACCTTTCCAGGGTATTAAACCTTTCCTCCCACTCGCTTTGATCCTCTATTCGAGTCTCAAATGGCTTGTGGAAGTGAAACTTTGGAACCATCTTGTCGGATACCATCCCAAGAATTGGTTCCGACATAGATGTATCTTTGATCCTGGAGTGGGAACCACCCCTCCAGTCATTATTATTCCTGAGTCGATATGCTGCTAGCCGCGCTTCTCTCTCCACCACTATATGCAGCGGTGGCAGATTTAGCATGACTTCTAGTGCAGCTGTCGGGGTCGATGCCATCGCCCCCGTTATACCTAAACAGGCCAATCTCTGAATTCTATTCAGTTTTTCCTTCGCTGTGGTCTGTTGTGTTTTCTGCCACCATACCACCGCGCCGTAAAGAATCCTGGGTCTTACTATCGACGTATACAACCAGTGTGACATCTTTGGTTTCAGTCCCCAGGTTTTCCCAATAAGGCGGCGGCATACACACAGTGTCTGCTTCGCCTTACTCACCACTTTTTCCAAGTGCGCATTCCAGGTAAGCTTATTATCCAGTATCACTCCTAGATATTTTACTTCCCTGGAAAATGTAATGCCCCTCTCCCCTATTATAGGTTCAGAGAGTCCAGTTAAATTTCTTCTCCTAGTGAAGGGTACTACGACCGTTTTGTCAGGGTTTACTGACAGTGCCTGCCCCTTACACCAGTCATCTATCCATTTCAAAGCCTCTTTCATGAGTTCTGAAACGATAATATTATGTTTCCCGACTATGAGAACGACCAAGTCATCCGCATAGCCTTGTGTATAAAACCCCTTTCGATTAAGGCCCTCCAGTGCGCCGTCCACCACTAATCCCCATAACAAGGGAGACAGTACGCCTCCCTGGGGGCAGCCCCGGCCTACCTTACACCTGGATGTCTCTCCCGAAAGGGTAGCTGTTACTGTCCGGTTTCTCAACATGGTATCTATCCAACGACACAAAGTGTCTTCAAGGCCCCTGTTGCGAACTGCCGAATTAATAGATTCGAAAGGTGTATTGTCAAATGCCCCTTCAATATCTAAAAAAGCTGCCAAAGCTAGATCTTTGTCGTCCATTGCCCTCTCTATCCTAGAGACTAGGCTATGAAGGGCTGTGTCGACTGATCTGCCTGCCTGATAGGCGTATTGGTACCTGTGCAGAGGATTTGCCCTCAATACCCCGTCCCTTATATGCCTGTCAACTATTCTCTCCAACGTTTTCAGGAGGAAAGATGTTAAACTTATCGGGCGATATGCCTTTGCCTGGGCATACGATGGACGCCCTGGTTTAGGAATAAACGCCGCGTTCGTCGATCTCCATGCCAGCGGTATATAACCAAGTGCAATGCTGGCTCTGAAGACGTGAATTAAGACCGGAGCTAGACAGTCCACCCCCTGCTGTAGCAGTACAGGTAGGATTCCATCGGTTTGCTCACGTCAGCCAATAATTATTTAAAATGCTATAAATTTTTTATAATTATGCAGTCAACATATTAAATTGTTATGTTGTCCAGCAAGAACCTCGAGGAGATCTGAGCATGCCTTGCCAAAAATCAGTTTTTTTATCATAATGTTAATTTTTTAATTTACTGTAAGCCTTCGGGCTTACAGCAATGCGGCCCAATTAAACGATCGCCATATACTCCTGCCCATATAATGACACCGAATCTCCTCTGAAAAATAAACCGACGAGTAGTGTGCGGATTTTCATCTGACCAAATGTGACTATTATGGCTGCAAAGAAATTAGCTCTGTTTCACTTTAAATAAAATTTAATATTGAAGTTACAAAACTCCAAGAGTTCAGATAATTTAAATTTCATTTCATAACCATTTCAATTTCATTACATAAATAATAACATAAAAACCAACACTCACTAGACATATTATAAAGAGAGGGTGAAATGTATGTAGTATTTAAATATTGACTGTAAGTAATAGAAGATAAGAAACAATCGGACGGAGACAAATAAACAACCGGTACGTGTTTCCGACCTAGGCTAACCTGTTTCTAGGTCACTAACCTTCTAATTTGCACGTGTTCTACAGTCTAAAAGCCAGATAGGGTTCCGTTCAGAGTGCCACGGCTGCAAACAACTTATTCTTAACTATTTTGACCTCCTGAATCCAAAAAACCTGGTCGCAAAGCCTGAAAGTGGTCAGTTTAATTGTTATCAACAAATTAAATGTTTAAATGGCTGTAAAAAGTTTATTTTTATAGCTAGTACACGGAACCCTATCTGGCTCCTAGACTAATACGAACTGTAGTAGGATCGTATTCCATGCAAAATAGAGCAAAAAGTTGTCGGTCTTTTATCAAAGGAAAATCGTGTTGTCAAATTGAATGTAATGAATAGGGATGATTGTTTTCGAATGTACGGTTATTACAATTTATCATTTTTAATATTATTAACGTTTTCACGTTTTATAATTTATTATGTTAAATAATACAGTTTTAGTATTTCAATTTATTATTCAATATGCAGTTGCGTATAATCAAAGTTTACATAATAAATGTAAACTTTAGTGTAAATGTAAACTTTGGTGTAATCTAGGTAGGTACCTACCTACTTATTGTTTTTGAGAAAGTAATATGTTCTTTACATGTTTAAAATGCCAGCTCGAGTAAAACAGCATTCATCCGTCTAGAGCACTCTGTTAATAAAGTTGGGTCCTGCTGCAATTCGATTTAGGAACTAATTGCAAAATTCAAGACGATTGCGGAAATCAGCTGGTTCTAAAGCTTGAACTTTTTGAAAATGGTACGGGTTGAGTGAATTCTCGCGCAATATCCGCCAGACTTGTACAATTGTCCACGGGCTTGGGAAGATCTGTCGATCAGGGAAACGCCTGCGATATTCAATTGCAGCGGCATTTGCATTCTGTACACACTCTCCGTATAAAATCACCATATCCACATATTCGGCATTCGTAGCCATCACGACCGACATTTTAAACAATTGGAAATAGGCTAAACTAACGGTTTCGTGTGTCTGTGTCTTTCCAATCCACATCCCCTCTCCATCTTTATGATGTGATGTTCACTCCTTTGCGGGAAAAATGCGGAAGATATTGAAGGTGGTAGATTTGAATAAACGCTTTAAATTCTTAATGGTTTTGTAACCGTGAGTAGTATATTTGTATATTCGGGTATTTAGTGTGCCGACTTTTTTTATTTGGTAAAATACGGTGTACCTACAAACAGGTAACTTCCTCTGCTTTATTTATTTTCTTTTAACGAAAGTTGACTTCGAGAAGTCAGGCTTGTTAAAACATATTGCACCAAGTTTATACAATTATTAAAATTATGTATAATAAAATGCACCATGATCCTTTATTTACTTGCATTTTATTGGTTTCGTACATATGTATCCGTATACTAAAGCGTATTAAGTAAATGTGAACCACAGATTATGATGTGAACTTGGCAACGCTGTTCGCTTCAGCTGACGATTTGTTTGTGACATTATGTTCCAAAATTTGCCGAGCATCCGGGCATCTGGTAGGGCCGCCCTCTTAGCGGGAGTTATGTGTTGATTTCCTTCATTTTTAAAAGTCGAGTAAAAAATTTTTTCCGATTTTCTGTCTTTATTAAGCCTTCCGAATACGTGGTTAAAATTAATGACATTATGACTGAATCACCCTGTATATCTACCAGTCATCTGCTACACTCGCTAATTCAGAAATTTCATTCCAGGTTATTCCGCAGCAGCTCTTCTGGCAATTATATTCGCCCTACCTTTCGCGTGGAGAGTGCTGGTACATCGGGAGCACGGCCATTGGGAGCATCCACTGCCTGCGTTTTACTTCGCCCATTTGGAACTATTCCTGGGAAACGGCTGTTTAGGAATAGGAGTCATGATGCTGCTGGCGCTCACGCTTGAACGCTACGTGAGCGTCTGCCATCCGGGACACGCCAGACCGATACTAGGATCCCCCCGCAGGGCAGTTGCCCTCATTCCCACCTGCACTTTCGTGCTGTACATTCCCATTATATTCCGCAGCCAAATCAAGACATGTAGGCTCTTGCCGGCGGGGATGGTGATATATCAGAGGATGGAAGATACCGACTATGTGGACCACCCGCTTTACAGCATATACAAAGTGGTGTTGGAGTTTATCTTCAAGGTGGTGCCCGTGATACTTCTGGCGGCGTTGAACTTAAGGATTCTGATAGTGTACAGGCGGTCTTGCGAAAAGCGCAGGAAGATGATCCTGAGCAGGAAGACTTCCGGAGAAGAAGATCCAAGGAAGTTTGCCGAAGAAAGGCGGTTGGTGCTTTTGTTGGGGTCCACTAGTATTCTATTTTTGGTTTGCGTAACTCCCATGGTAATACTCAACGTGACTCTGTCCGAAAATAACTTAACGAAATATCCCTATCAGGTAAGCAGGGGTGACTTTTCTCTAAAATTATTTCAAACTGGAGTACGTATTTACCGAGGAATTATAGTTTTTAGATAAATGATCATCGGAAGTACACGAAGAATCACAATTAAACTTAGTTATGCATTCCTGATACTAAATTTGTCCACTATAGATCTCCATCAATTTCATCATAAATCATCAGAAAATTGCCATAATTAGGCTTAGTGTACGTGCACAGTCTAACAGAGCCGGCGCGAGGGTCGGTGGCCTTCACAGCTGACTAGCGTTTTGAACTGTTCAGTTATTTATGGAACCTTGTAGTAGTTGGTGTCGCGTCGATACCTTTCTTTTTTACGTCTTCTCTAAATTGTATTCGCCGCACTAAGCCTAATCATAACAACCCCATTGCGCCATAATTTTTTCCATATTTGAAAAATGAAATGAATCGCTCGATGCTCCAACACTCTGACGGCTATCTGGAACTGTCAAACAACACAGGCACACAAAACAAAATAATTGGTCTGTTGTTTTGATCAGACTGTTACTGTTATGTTTCCGGATCCGTTAAAAACGTATCTGTAGTCAGTTGGCGTCCACAATAAACATTTTCGAAAAAATGCCTCTCAAATCAATAAAAAATGGTCTATTTGCGGATATGATTAAGGATTGTAACATTGCACAGTGGGTGAAAACGCTCAAAATTCCGTGTGACGTAGTAAAAGTTGTCCAAATTGGGATATACATATTTTAAATACTGGTAATTATGTCCGCTGTCTCATGTCACCGCGACAATTGCGATATTTTAAGATCTCAACTTGCGATATCTTAAATACTCTTACAAATTGCAATCAGAAATGTTTTATACCACAAAATATGAGTAGTATTTAGCGAATATAAAAAAAGTACGGTATGAATCTAGACAGAAAGGCAAAAAAGATAAAATAGTAAAATAATCCAAAAAATTTACTTTTTTAAGAATCTGTTAGACAAGTTCCGATTTGACGTCAATAGACCTTTTTGGTAGTGACGTCACATACGCCAAATAACCTCATAGTATACATTGTCATGAAGAATTTCTCAATATTTTTACTAGATCGATTTTCGACCTTATATATCGCGATATTCTGGCAATATTAGAAACATTTAAGAAGTTTCAAACCCCAAGTGACAAACTAAAAGAATTATAGAATTTATACAGGCTGTTTACAACTTCGCTTCTCACTACAGGGATCTCGGAAACGGTAAGAGGTACGAATGGGGGCAAAGTTGCGTAATCAGGGAACCAACATTACACCTCTAAAAAATTTAGGCTAACATGATTAGTTTTCGAAATATTTGAAAAAAACCGAAATATTGTAAATCCATTTCTGTTTAATTTCAGCTTTATTTGAGGAGATATTGAAAAAAGAATAACACTTTCTCGTGGCACCAGCCCATTTTAGCGTACGTAATCACTTAGATACAGTATATCCAAATCGTTGGATAGGTAGGGGAGGTACGGAACATTGGCCTGCTCGGTCGCCGGATTTAAATCCTCTTGATTTTTGCATTTAGGGATTTCTTAAGTCATTAGTTTATTCCACTCCCGTTGAAAATGTTGATGACCTGAGAAATCGAATTATAGTCGGCTGTGAGACAGTAAGAAATATATCGTGAATATTTCCGCGAATACGACAATCAATGAGGCGAAGAGTTGAATCTTGTGTCACGTCTGAGGGAGGTCATTTTGAACATTTGTTGTAGCTTTGCGCCTTTTCAAAATTTTATTAGTGTTATTTTCTGTTACTGTTCTGGTTTAATATTATTGTATTAGATAGTTCTTGATAATGTATTAAAGAAATAAAAAATACGCGTTAAGATGTTTGATTTTTTTGCATCGAAACGGCGTCCCATACGAAGAAAAGGCAAGAGAGATTTTTTGTCACAAATTGAACGAGGAATTCAAAAATTTTAATTTGTAATATCTCAGTGGCGTACCATTTTTTTCTTTAAAAAAATTGATATTATTACCCGTACGCTCGCCAATGATGAACATAAAATTCTTAATTGCGTGTCAAAAAATGCCCAATAACTACCTCTTAAAACCCACCAAATTTCATTTGCACATCTCGACCTGTTTCAGAGCAATAAATTAAATCGTCAGTTTTTCAGAAAAACTTTGACACCCATATCTCGGAAAACGAATCATTTGCGGACATACGTTTATAAGCAAACTGCCATTATTTTCTCATGTAGAATCACTCCCTGAAATTTGTCGCACTTATTTACTAACACCCTGTATATGCAAATAGTAAACAAGGGTCAGATACGATCTGTACAATTTCATCTATTTTCAACTATGACAATTTGTTACGAGTTGCCTAAATATGTGACGTCACACTAAAAGAGTATTGTAACCCCTTCAACAATCACAAATTCTTGAAACCATAAGCCTAAAAACCTAACCTAATAAATCTAAATTCATAAAACTAAACCCACAAAACCCAGACCCATAAAATTTAAACCAATAAAATCTAAACCCACAAAACCTAAACTAACATTATTAATTATTATTAATTAACTGGTTTTCAAATTTATACCTTACATTTTTTATATTCGCTAAATATTGTTCATATTTTGTAGCATATCGTTTATGGGAAACATTTCTGATTGTAGTTTATAAGAATATTTAAAATATCGCAAGTTGAGATCTTAAAATATCAGAGTTGTCGCAGTGACATACTTAAGAAAGCGGACGTAATTACCAGTATTTTAAAAAATACAGATTGTTGCAAATTTGCTTCTCACTACAGGGATCTCGGAAACTGTAAGAGATACAAAGTAGCTTAAATAGGGGCAAAGTTGCATAATCAGGGGGCCAACATTATGCCTCTAAAAAATCAAGGCTAACATTATTAGTTTTCGAAATATTTGAAAAAAAACGAAATTTTGGAAATCCTTTTTGTTTCATTTCAGTCTTGTTTGAGGTGATATTGAAAACTTTTTGCCCTCTGTCGAATGGCATAATCAATTTTTATATGTAACGTTTCGTCTCTCCAGGACCATCATCAACTTCATGTTTTTAAATACGATCATGGAAATTTTATTACATTTTTTGCAAGCCCTTATGACCCCCAATACTGTACTGCCTCAGCTCGAACCAGATTCAGACCTTTTGTCTCGAAAAATTCATCTTCAATGAATCCGTTCAAAATTTATCTAAATTTTTTATTTAGATTTCTATGTTTATTAAATTATCGTACACTCTAAGTGTCGTTAGACCCTGTGAAATCCACCTAGCCATTTAAACTATTCTATCACACATTACATTAAAAGTTCTCTGAAATAAACGCTAAAAACAAAAATCGGTGATGCACATCAAATGAGAAACACCCTGTATACTAATTAAAAATAATAACTAAATAAGTTAGAACTAAAGTTTCACGTCGTTAATATAATCTCGTTTGAATATTGTTGTTTTGAATTCTCGTGTTCATTAGGTTTAATTGCTATTCTCCCATTTCTTTATCTGTAACAATCTTGTTAGGCATACAAAGGCTTGTCTTTGTAAAGGGATAATTAAATTATTTAAATTAGACATGGACAGGTAATTTCCTGTCAGCATGCAAATTTAATTAATTATAAACTTCTTGTTTCACTGCTTACTGCTACGATTTTCCAAGATTTTTTAAATTAAGAGATTAAGTATTCTCTAGTAAAATTAATCAAATTCAATAACTGGTTGGCAGAATGCGGATAAATTTGAGATGGAAAATGATATTTATCTTAACAGAATTATTTAAAAATAACAGGCATAGAAAATAGACGTACAGGGTGTCTGGTAAGTATATGGCATACTCTCGGGGATGTATAGGGGAGGTCAAAATAACCCTAGTTTGTCATAAAAAAATCCTCAAGTGCCCCGTAAAGGAGATACAGAGCTCCAAAGGGGTACCCAGCTATTTACCTTTTCGGCTTTAACTTTTGAAAAAAATAAGTCCAATGAAGTTATGTCGGGAGACCTCGGTAGCCATAAAATAGACTCACCTCGACCTACTCACTGATAACCAAATAGTATTTGATATGTGCTGACGAATTAAATTGCTAAAATGGGGCGGTTCACCATCATGCATAAATCACATCTGATATTTCTAATTCCTAAGGGTACAAGTAGAATAGCTGTGCCGATTCTGCTCCACAATTCAAGATGGCGACTGGAGCAGGATCGGCATAGCTTTCAGCCGGCTACGTCACATCGGCTGACGTCTGCGCGGTGGAGGTTGATGACCGTTCATGCAGAACTAGAAGTATTATTTATATATGGATCTATCATTAGTAGTAAGGTTGATGATTTAATTAAAAATCAAATACAGAAAGTTTTATCATTTATTTGTTCTTGTTNAGGAGGAAAGATGTTAAACTTATCGGGCGATATGCCTTTGCCTGGGCATACGATGGACGCCCTGGTTTAGGAATAAACGCCACGTTCGTCGATCTCCATGCCAGCGGTATATAACCAAGTGCAATGCTGGCTCTGAAGACGTGAATTAAGACCGGAGCTAGACAGTCCACCCCCCTGCTGTAACAGTACAACTTATCTTAGTGATTTAGGATTAAGGGAGAACCTGTTTCACAAAATAAGTAAAAGTAAAACTTTTGATTAATACAGTGTGTCCGCGGATGGGGTACTGCCCTCTTGTAAACTTTTTTTATTGTTGATTTTTTGAGAAAAATTTATTTTTGATAGAAAATTTTGCTTATCTTGGTAAGTCACGGGCAGTAATCAAGAAAGAAATAACAAATTAGAAGTGGAATTAACAACAACAACGAAGCAAGTACTATTCAACTTGTAAACCTCCAAGTAATACATATTTTTCTCATATTTTTCCAAATTCCTATACACAGACGAGATCATTTCTTCGTTTATGGTGGTAAAAGCTTCCTGAGTTTTTTGCTTAAGTAAATCAATGTTATCGTCAAAATCGTTTGAATGCACTTTTTACTTTAGGTATTCCCATAAGAAATAATCTAATGAGGAC